GGATACCTGTCACTCATATTACCTTTCACCTTCATATCATTGATGTAGAGCGCTTCACCAGTCGTAAGCGCATCGGCCGACTGATTGGTTTCAGCGATTCCATTGGCTTCTGAACCATTTAGCGACCACTCCTTCAAAGAAACAACGGTAACAATCGGTTCTACAACCTGTACATTTACTGCACAACTACTTGCTCGTGAGCTACACCTATACTGTCATATTATGGGCAGAGCCTTCACCGATCGTATGCGAGCATATGAGTGCGGAGACAGCCAACAATTGTGGCTCTCTAAACGCTTTGTACATCTTCTTCGAAGTTTTAGAAGAAGTGTCGCACCAATGAGGAACGCGCAAATGTTGAGTGCTTCCGCCCACGCCTCCGTGCATGCGATCAGCGTGGACTGTGTCTCCAATCCTATATTGTCACATACCGTGTACAACTGCAAGCATTCTATTGGTAGCTCCTCATTTAGACTGAAACTTTGTGTGGGATCTTCACACATCTCTGAAATACCCGCTCTGACAAGATTTCTTCTATAGGTGAAATCAGGGAGCGATGAAAACTGAGAGATGTCATCATCGAGAAGAGTGAGTATATCCTTGGTGTACCACTTCAGACCGTTGAAGCGTCTGAAAACACCAATACAGTACTGAGATTTGATCTTATTTATGATTTAATGAGGAGAAGAAGCAGAACAACTAGCCAGTATGCGAAAGATTCTACCTTGGCTTAAAATTCAGTATCCTGTCCCTAGTACCCCATCCTGCATTGAGGCAACTATAATCCGAGTGTAATTATAATTATAAAGTAATTAGAAAATTAGTAAGTAATTATTCTGGCGAGATTGGGCTAGAGTAATTTTCTGTGAAAAATGTACTGGAATGCAGGAAAGGAATGTACGGGTGTGGTGCAGTCAGCGGGTCCACGAGTCCGTATGGTTCCCATGGATAGAGGAATCCAGTCGTAACTCTACAGCTCCCCTCGTGAAGCCGTAGGTTCGGTTTCGTAGTCGCAGTTTCAAACCTCTCCTGGCATAGGAGGAGTAAGTGAATAGTACATCTGAGATTTAATAGTAGTTCTAGAGGTCCTTCTATCCGTATTCTGGCGCTGAAGGGTGGGTGTCTACGAATTCAATATTACATTCGGCCCGTAGCTGGCAGAATTTCTACCCGTAGCTGTCGCTGCCTATGTGTGTGGACACTTCACTTTCTGTACTTGGATAGGTTTTGACAGTACTTCACAGTGCTATTTCCAACCCCAAAAAGTCCACCACTATCAAGTACTATTTACAGCCAGGGTACAGCATCGTGATTTGTGAAATGGCAGTGTCAGTACGACTCCCCCCCCCCACTCTCCACGGAAGAGCATCCTGGTGTGACACCCACCCCCTTTCCGGCTCTGATTGTTTGCTCTGACGAAAAGGATTAGATACGTGACTCGCAAGCGCTTGTGGGTCACGCGCCTGCCCGTGGCAAATTAACGGTAGAGCAGATCTGTTGGCCAAGTGGAAACTGCGGGCTTTTTCTGGGGGTGATAGTTTTTCAGGCGAGAGGCTTTTGAGGAACAGAATGAAAGAAAAAGCAAACACGTATGATGAAGTCAATGTCTGCTCGCTTGTTGCGTATTTCTTCCTTGAGCGCGATTTTTCTTGAACTGTTCCGCGGACCGCGGCTCAAATATTTCGGATGGGTTATGGACGTTATGGATGAGGCGGAGTGGTGTAGTGACAAGTGGCGCGCTTACCACTCGCGCGGGCCGGGTTCGAATCCCATGTCGACTCCCGCCTAGACCCAATCAAGCCCTCCCCCCCCATGCAATCGACTCCTTCTGGGACGGTTGAATCTGGTACGGCAGATCCTCCGTTGGCAGGATAAAACACTGACTTGTAGCATGGCCACCGCAAGTCCATTGACATAGGCTACATCGCATTCATGAGCGCCACTAGTTCTTGAATGGAAGTGAGAATGCGGCGCGGCATCCGCACAAAGGGATTGATCAAAGACGGCAAGAACTTTCATCCTTTAATTCCTTTAACTGGACCGCATCACGTGGTAAATCGTGGGCGGGTTCTTATTCTCCAGACGAAAATAACTTCTTTGAAACGCAATCTTTTGCAAAACTAGGAACACCTTCAGAACGCTCAACATTTCCTCTTCAAGAAACTCGTCAGCTTTCCTGGAAACCCGTTAGTTGAGGAGATATTTTCAAATGGGTCATCCTTGAGCGACATTCTGAGTCACTCAAAAGCTTTAAGAGCTTTCACGGACCACTCCATAACCAAAAGCTGAATCGGTTCTTAATTATTCAAATATGAAACTAAAGAGGGACAATTATAGGATGACGGCATTGATGTGCCAGCCCATCACGTTTATGATTCCAGGAATGCCAACGGCAAATAAACAGATGGTTGGCAGACTGCCGCAACACTGCTATCCGTCTGGCACTCACGGAGGCTAGCCTCCTTCGGAAAACAAGTGAAGGATGTTGTGCCTGCTCCTTACGAACAGACTAGACGCCCATCGATTCTATACTCAGACTCATCTACAACATTTCCTTGGCCTTTTTTTATAGGGCCATCTCCCATTTAACAATAAATTTTGAGGGATTTAATTTCCTCAATTTTTTTCCGTTTCTTCCCAGTTTCACTCAACATGGTTCTGTATGCCTCCAGCCTTCCTTTTTTCAATCTCTTTTTTTTTTCTTTTCTTGCTTAACACTTCTTGAATCTTTTTGCTGGCTTTTTTTGCATTCTTTCTAATGTAGGAGCTAAAATATAAGCAACTTATTGTGTGAAAAAATAATTAAAAAATCGATCACAATCATGATGTATGAAAAACGGACGTACTAAAAGTTCGTGTATATTTCAAACTTGTTCGTGGATATTTCAAAGTTTTCCGATCAAGATTTCCTACATTAGCAAGCAATTTCGATCAATAACACATGCACCATCTTCATCAGTGATTTGTCGCTCCGCTTCCAAAAGCTTTTCGGTTCCGAGCCGAGAAAAGTCATTTTTAAGGTGCTTTGGAAACAAGGCACCTCCTACGTGGGGGAATCCCCAGCGGGAGGGGGGAGGGGGGGGGGTGTATTTGGTCCGAGGAAGGAAATTTTTCATAGCCTATTTTTCTTTTCCATGGGCGGGCGCTATTCACATCGTTGGATGAATGCTGTTGGAGGTGGGGGG